AAATAATTTCGGAAGTAGTGTTTATTCGGGGTGGAAGGAGCTTCCACTGCGAGGGCTGCAGGAAACGATTTGACTGCAATCCAGAAGAAAAGGAGCACAGGTCTGGAGTACATTAGTGTGGTGGGAGGCCGGGAATAGCAGCCACTTAACCCTGTCATTCAGCAAACATTAGTGAATTATGAGTGTATTATATGTTGGGTTATGTGTTTTGTGAAAAGCCCGGAGGCCCGCTGTATCTGCGCTAAAACCTTAGTGGGGGTCTGTGTCAAAATGTAAATTTTTATACCGACTCCGAAATAAAAATAAGATTTTTTGCGTTCGCCTCCCAGCTACTGAAATCAAATTGCAGCCAAAATCAGAGTTGTAAAATAAGCAAAAATTTCCCTTCCCTGTCAAATTAGTGCCCCGGTAAAGAAAACAAGGGATATAAATGTGATTTACTTCCTTTCCCTCCCGTCATAAACATTTATGACCGAGCCGTAACGATGGGTTTCAGGAGGCAGCCGGGGCTCGTGGGGCTTTTGCAGCAGAACCCACGCGGCGGGCGCGGGGCAGCCGATCCCGGGGGACCCCCACCACGGTCCTGCCCCCCCAGCCCTGTCCTGGGCCACGGCCATGCCATCCCCCACTCCAGGGGAGGCTTGTCCTGCCTGTCCCGGGACACGGGCGATATCCCCAGGTTTATTATCCCGCAGCGCAGACACAGGCACCCTCCAACGTTTCGGCAGAGCTGTGTATCCCCCGTCGGGCATCTCGAGGCTGCGGTTCGGCAGCAGAAACCAAGCCAGCATTTATTAATTATGAGCTTAAGCACTTCCTTTCATGGCTATTTACAAGAGCCTCCTCATTATTAATAAAGAATAATAAAATAGAGGGTTTTTAAAGCTCATTTGTTCCGCAGGGTGCTGATCCCCGCGGCGGGCGCGAGCCTGGATGCCACCCACCGCACGGCCCGAGAGCACCGAAACCCTGATTATAATGAATCCCCACCCCCCCCTTAAAAAAAAAAAAAAAATCCTTTATACCATTCTGCATTCAATTATTTTAAGTATCGTAACACAAGGAACAATGGCAGCAGGCTCCACGTTTCAAGGGTGCCTGGCTGCGGTTTTCAGTTGGCCACGAGGTGATGGCAGCTCCTGTGTATAGAGAGATACTTGTAATTCATTAGCCATTTGCAAAGGGCACCGATACTTGACTTCATTTCTGAGTCAGTCGAAGGCTGATTTCCCTGCTATTTACCTCCATGGCAGCAGCTGTAATTAGCAGCAGCGCAGGCTCCCACGGGCCGGGCTGGCGTCTGCCGCTCGCATCCACTCCGTGGTAATTTCTTGCCTGCAGGGCAAACAAAGAAAATTAAAAGTTCCTTTTTTGGGATGAGTGGAAGAGCCTGGTCCTCGCAGCTGCAGGTCACCCAACCCCACACACCCAGCTTGGCCTCACCAACACCCGTAACTCCACGGCGGCGGAGTTCCACGGTTTTCCGCAGGAGCAGCCGCAGCGCCTGGGGACCAGCCGGGGTGCTGGTGTGGGGACGGGGACAGTGACCAGCCCGCACCCCGCTGCTGCCACTGGGTGCTAATTGCTGTGACATATTGAGTGGCACTCGCCTGGGGAGCGGGCGAGAGGAGCCGGCGCACCGCTCCTGCTCGCTAATAATTACTGATTAAAAACTAGTTAAAAAGGCAATGAAGGCTGAAACGTGCATTAACCGAATGACCCCTGCCTCGAGGGGCCATCACTCGCGGCGTCTCCAAACAGCGGCCTGAATGTCCCCAGGATTTATGGTGATGCCGGAGGTTCCGCGTGCCCGTGCCGGGGCGTGAGGGTAGGAATGGGGCCCCGGAGCCAGGGAGTCCGTCTGCTCCCGACCCGTGCCGTTACCCTCCACGTCGTCGTTCTCTCAGCAGGTGAGGGCGCAGTGAGCGGTGAGACTCCCTGACGCAAGCTGGGGTTGGGGTGCCTGTGTGGGTACCGCCGGTTGATTTGGGGTGATTTCCCCCACAGCCACCTCGGGGCCTTGCCCTGTGATGGCAAATCAACTCGATTGTGCACTTCAACGGGCAGCAAGAGCTTCATCCCCAGCGCCAGGCTGCCTCGAAACCAGAAGCGGCGTTGGCCACGATTCAGGTGCTGCCACCCACCCCTCGAGGGGAAAGTAAAGAGGGGGGCAGTTATTTCTTACCCTGTAGTTTTAAAATCTACCGTGGCGTTTGGCAGATTGGACAAAATGAGCCTCCTTTCTTCTCCAGCGTATCCATCGGGATATCCATCCAGCAAAGCTGTTCCTGCCGCAAACACAGACCGTGGGGTGGGGGGGGACAAAGGGAGGGAGACCCCCCCCTGCCAGTCCCTTCACTCAGGGGTGAAACTGTTCTGCTGGGGAAATGGCACAGGAGCTGCCCCTCACCGGGTCCTACTTTCCAAAAAGAGCCTGAATTAAAATAATTTTTCCATCCTGGCTACTGCACTCGCAGCTCCTGACAGCTTTGAAAATGGGCCCAGTTGAACTCATCATTTCATATCGATTTGGGGTTTTTCTTCCCTGCCCTGGCAGCTTTGCACTGAGGGTGTTGCACATAATGCAGAGCGAAAGGCCACGCTGGCCCTGCGAGCCCCTCGGCAGGCTGCGCCGGAGCCCGCCCCGCTCCCCATCGTTCTGGGGTGTCCCAGGAGCCGCGGGGGGGACACCGGGGGCTTATCCCACACACCTCAAATCCAGCAGCTTGAACACGGGGCTGCTCCTCCCTGGGCTCCCCCCTCTGCTTTGCACCCAATTTTTTCAAGTCCGCTTGTCACAAAAGCAGAATTTTTCTGCTTGTCCATGTCTGTCTTGGAGCGGGGAGGTTTGAATCGAAAATATTCAGCGTGCATCGCAGGCTGGCTCACCCACCTCCCTCCAGACTTGGGGTACAGGGGACGCCCCAGCCCCATCCCGCAGAGGTGCCCGTTTCAGGGGCAGCCCCAGCTCCTCCATCACCCCCGTCCTGCCGGGGTGGCTCAGGCTGCCCCCCCGGCACCGGAGCCCCTTCCCCATCCCCAAAGCCCCACTCGGGGCCGCGCTGTGTCACCTCCCGCGTCTGAAGAGCACCGAGCACTGTGGGCACTGATGCAACATAAACATCAGCGAGAATAAGAAGCACGAGAGAGTACGTCCGTACTTTTGCCTTTTTTAAGCCTGCGGTGCCTTTGAGCCACTAATAAAACTGCTTAGGATTTAGACAGGGCTTTGCATCTTCAAAGCAAGGCAGCGTTTTGTTCCTCCTCAGTCCCTTTCATCCAGAGATCCAAAGCGCTTCCTGCCGTTCTTTCACCACCTTTTCATGGGTGGGGGATTCCTCTCTTTTATCTTGAAAAAGCGTGCTTGAACGGGGCTGCGGGCTCCAAACTATCCTGAGTGCCTGCGGTGGAGTTGGAGCCTCATCCCTGACCCCTCATCCCTGAGCCTCATCCCTGAGCCTCATCCCTGTCCCCTCACCCCTGACCCACATCCCTGTCCCCTCTCCGGGATGGCGACTGGGTGACACTGCACCATCCACCGATGGGTGCTAAGGGGAGGTGAGCACCCCGGAGGGATGCAGCACCCCGGGCTGGGCTCAGCATCTCTGGCTGGGCACCGGGGTCGAGCCGATGGTGACCCCCCCGCAGCACCACGGGGCTGGGGGCACGGGCGGCTGCTGGGGCATTAATAACCCGGCGCTGACAGCACACGCTGGTCCAAAGGACACGCGTCCGAGCTGTCAATATTGATAGTCGTGACACTGTGTAAATGCAACCTCTCCGCTTTACGCCGCGCTGGCCCTATCGATCCGCACGTGCGGCGGCGCCGGGAGCGTCCCAGGAGCGGGGACTAGGTCAGACAGAGGAAGGTCACCAACGCGGCCCAGCCCCGGCGAGAACCGTAACCCTTCGCTGCGCCAACCCAAGGCAGGGGCCTCCCGGCAGCTC